TTTTAAACTTTGTACACGAATTACAGCCAAACGTCTAAAACCACAGTAATATATCGATACTTGCTAGATTCCCCAAACATTCAGCTTTCATATGTATATATTGGATTCATTCTATGTATTCTATGAGAAAATCAATGAAATGTAAAAACACTGCTTTTTCGAGCATTTTTCGAGCTTATTTGAACGTTCTAATTTCAATTTTTCAACTTTGAACGCGTATTACAGCAATATGGATAAGAGCACAGGATTGTATATATACTTTAGCAGATATTAGGAAAATTGCTCACTGCTACTAATATTCGCGCCTCCCCTTAGACTAGTTCACGCCTCCCCAGGTTTGGAAAACGCTGCTATAGATAACAAATTGTAATTTAGTTACTTTGTAAATGTAATCGATCATAGCTTGTAAATCAATGAGGCAATACGTTTAGCATCCCAATCACTTCAAACATGCATATATATATCGTTGTTTAGGGAGCGGTATTGCGTAACAGTCTTGAGGGTGCGACTCACTCGACTCGATTTACATGCAAATTTCGCAAAGAGTTTTATTCAATAACGATCCGGACGACTTTTGTGTAGCTTGAATGATTTTAAAGGAAACATTAATATATTTATTCCTGTAACTTAGAAGTACTAATGAAACCGAAGACGTCGTCTTTCTCTCCAAAGTAATACTGTTAGATCAACCTCTCTCCACTTCATAGAACAGAGCGACGAATACAATTTCATTACATTTTCAGTGTGTCAAATGTACCGCTTCGCAACATTGTTGCGCACTATATTTTCAGTATTTGTTCTGTCACGTCTCTCCTAGCGCGAACCGATTCGAAAGTTAATAGAATTTTTGCACAATTCCATAAAAGTGTGTTGAATTCTTATGACGTTTTTAATATTTTATCCAATTTTCGATAAGGCGCCGTCGTAAAATCGAAGCTTCGAAAATAAATATAGAGTACAGTGCTTTTTACGGTTTGCACAAAATCTTCTGGGTTAGACCAGCTTGCATACGGACGTTATTAAAATGCTCAATATCCTGTGCATTTTTCGCTCCTGGGATGAGAAAAAAAATAAATAAAATTAAACGAGGAGCACCTATATTATAGGTCGTATAAAAATGGGGACCAAATGGACGAATCGATAGTGCCTTTTCAACATTCGTAAGCGTTGTATACAAAGGAAGAATTGTAGACAGCCGTAAGAGATATATTCATTCTTTTTGAAGAATTTAAAATGAAAATTGGAAAAATAGTGTATTATTGAATTCCGGAGCGGGAAAGGCTTCGGTCCGAAGATGTATACAGAGGGAAAACCTTTGTATGGAAATGTTTGGGTGAGTGCATTATTGTGGAAGCTTGAGCGTTCGTTTTGGCCTTCCTCTTCTTGCAAGGCAAAAAAATGTAGAAGGCAGTGAACCTTCACCGGCGGGAATTTTAAATGAAAATTGGATAATAGTATATTATTGAATTCCAAGCCTTTGCCTTTTGACGATGTACATTTTAAATCTCTTTAGCTTCAATATTTTCTCGCTTAAATAGTGGAATTCAAATATTAAAGATTTTTCTTATACTTATTTAGGAATTTTATAACTAGGTTTGAAAATAATATATTATTCTGGAATATAATATTATTACCACACTATGTACAATTGGTTGCATACCTTGCCAACCTGTTATATAATTGATTTTTTGTAGTTATCGGAGCCGCAAGAACTCCGGGCTTGAATTGTCTCTCCTATGTTTTTTAGAACCCCTGAATTCGTACTAAAATCGAGGCTGATGTAATTGTGTCAGTGTGACACAGCCTAAGTGTACAACAGGAGGTGAAAATCCTAGGAAAGAAAGAAGAAGTTTTTGTAGTTGATAAATTTGTAAATGATAAAGACTAACAAATCCTAATTAAATCTTATTTAATAAAAATATTTATGTCCATTGTAAAACCATTAATAATTACATGATTACTGGTTGGCACGTAATGGAAATACAAAAAGGATTTTAATGCTAGGAATACACATAAACCCAGAGGATGCGTAAAAACCATACGATGAGATGGAGAAGACTTTCGGAGCAATTCATTTCCACTTTTGCTGCGCGCTGCGAAGGGTTTAACGAAAATGCGCCCTCACAATACAGGGATTTGATGAAAATTTATGGGTAATTAATATTAGCAGCGTATAATAAGCAGTGTGCTTCGCACAGGTTTAGGTTCGATGTGTATTTACATGTAATTGGAGCTAACCCAAATGAAGCGACGATCGTTAACGGAGTTCTCCGCATCTGCAACCTCTCAGAACAAGACCATATAAAAGCCTTTCCTATCATCAGGGATAGTGCGACATCTGACCAATCCAGATGGATGTTCCGCACAAATTACCCCGAAGATAGCAATACATTGATTTACTTTCGCCTCCGCCCAATTTTTCTTCTTCATCTAACACCTATAAACCAAGCCCGTTGCTAAGGGGATTGGCGAGAGAAAAAAGTGCTATGAATTAGTGTTAAGGGTTTATGATGTGTGATCTTTAATATTTCTCTTCAGTTTATAATTACACAACAACAAAAAATGTCAGATTCGAGATTATATTTCCGTTTTCAGTATATTTATGAAACTTGTATCGATTTAGTAATTAGATTATACATTTTTTTTGTTGGTTGATGTAAATATTTCATCTTTTTTTTTTATCCTGTTTCTGGCAGCTCCGGTTTCGCTATGGCCATTGGTTTGTGTCAAATTCGATTAGGTTTCAGGGCTTTAATTATTGATTTTGAACCGTTTGTTGTTGGTACTGTGGCTGTTTGGACTTACCTACGACGTTCAGCTTGAACGCCTGGCTGATCTTCGGTTCGGTGCTGACCTGGCACTCGTAGACGCCGGAATCTCTGGTCTGCGGAGAGGTGACCTTGAGAGTCCACTCGTCAGAACCGTCGGTATGCAAGGATTGGAAACGCTGATCGTTGGTGTACGTCAGTATGCCAACAGTCAGGATATGCAGATCGCGCTTACGGATCCAGGAGACCTGCGAGAACATAAGATTAGTATCCTGTTTGAATGATGTTAATTGATGATCGTGTAAGGAGCAGGAACGTAACGACGTGACATCAATCACAATCGCATCAAAACGAGAGTATGAATAATGTATTGGTAATAAGGCTTGTGTCTCAACGGATTCATAATTCTAATTTTTTGCAACAATTCATTAAATTATTTTAATTTCCTGTAAGATTTTATGTTTTTTTGTGGTGGAATATAACATTTCTCAACTACACTTATGACAAGATAGGTAGAGAGGTGTTTTACATGAATACCTGTGCACTTGTGATAATGAATGTAGGAGTGAAACATAGAGGTTTACGACAGAGTTTCCCGCTTAGACCCTTACTGTTATACATTTATAGGGCTGAATAGGAAATGGTTCTTACAGCAGGACCAGCACCAGTGTCGTAATTATTGGATTAATGGAAGCATGCCTTTTAGTTATTGCTGCTGAAATGAATTAAGTTCAAGGAAATATTTTATGAAAGGATGTTCAACGTATATCAAATTATCTTCTTAAACATACAAAACTCTAAAAGCTCTAACTCGTTACAAGGAGATATATAATGATAAAAAATTAACTGTCCAAACAAAAATTGATATTTTTTTTTAATAAAATGTAATATTTTTGGAAGATGTACTATCTGTTTTGTTGCATTGTGATGTCTACATTGAAAAATATTTGTAAGTAAGTACTTTGTTTATATTAATCTATTTTTTCAAATTTATGCAGTCGGTAATACGGAATTGAACATATATTAAAGTATAAACCATAATAAAGTGTGGTAAAATAAGTATACTTTGAAATTTTTAAAATTCCCTAGAAATTATAGATTTCTTGGATAAATTGGTCAAAGTTTAATTACATTAATACTAACTAGTTTTTAGGTCATATGGAATAACCCTTGTGACCGGAAACACTAGCAAACTGAAATTGGTGAAACTTCTACAGCCCATGCAGCAAATTGAAATTAATTGCCAATAATCGGAAACTAATTATCTGGGAATTTTTGGACGTGCCGCAAAGGGCAGCGACAGCAAAACGCCGCGAATAACGGGAAACAGATTACATTTTGGGGCGCGTATAAATTTTATTGCCGTTACAGTGTCTCGCGCGCGGAATTCACTGGTCGCAGCTATATTTTCGAAAGAAAAAAAAAAAGGTACCAAAAAAAGAACGGAAAGGGAAAATAATATGACAAAAGGCAAGAAAAGACGGGTGGTAAAAAAAGGAATACATCCGAAGAAGGAGGGTAAAACCGAAAAAGGATTCGGCCAATTTAAATCCGGCCCTCTATTTTTTCTCATAAAACTAGGAACCGCTAAGCCCTCCGCTGATAAGGCGACACGTCCCTTATCTGCCGGCCCGAAAGGATCAGCAGATATCAAACGCACCAATTTATTACCATCGAGAACCGAAGAGGAATTTACGAGAGAGTAAAAAGGCGAGGGCTAGTGGGTGGCGGTTTGCTACTGCACCGTGTATTACATAATAAATTCCAGGCAGGACTAATTCTGGCTGCTTCATTATTAAATGAAAAATGATTAATTTTAAAGCTCTTTATTATCGTTTCTGTTTTAAATTCACTAAATGTGAAGACTTTATTCATCATTACATTTTAAACTACAACTAAATGCTTATTCAATATCAATTTACATTTGGCATGTGGATTTGTGCGTAAGCTGTTGGGATGCAGTGATGAAAAATTAAAAATTGTAAATATGAACGCTGTAATTAAGAACTGAAATTAAAGAGTGGTTAGTAGCGGTGTTTAGGATAAATACCGGCCCGAGTATATTACAGCGATTTATTAAAAACCGTGCTGGAGCCATCCCCTTTTATAATATGAATATAAATTAGTCGTTAAAAAATCCCATCCCCTTTGCCAGGCTCGCTGCATGCAGCATTATTATTTTTTTTCTTCTTCGTGTGTTATGTTTGTTTTCGTTTTGTTTCTTTCCCTGGTTAATATTTTGACCGTCCCTCGCTTTAGTTTGTTAAATCGGGGGGCGGAATAGGGAATTCTTCCTGTCTAGTATTTTATGCTGCCGCTATCCCGTTCGCATGTTTCGCAACGAACATGAGATAACTGGAAATAGGTTAACATTTCCAAGTTGTTCAATCTGATCCCCCATATTACAGATAGGCATGTGAACAATAGCCTCTATAATGTACTGCAATATATGTAGGCGAGACTCTCTCACAGTCTCTCTCTGTATACATATATATGTTTATGTAGTATATATCTAACTATTTAGGTTTGAATTATTTACGGCGTGCGAAATCGATTTTTGGGAGGAACAATAGTGTCGAGGGGTGAGGAGGTGTTGTGTTGTGTGGTGTGTCTGTGCTCCGGTTCTGGCGGCAAGAGGAATGACAGTGTGCACGCTGGATTAAGATTGTGGATACTGTATTTTGTATTCTGGATGAAAAGGGATGGCGGGATAATTAGAAGGTCACAGGTTTACCGATCGTCTGTCCGTCTGCGGCCCTTTGGGATTCACGTCTTCCGTTTGTTTATCTTCAATCAATCGTCTGTTTTTCGTCTATTCCCAAGGCGCCTTTGAAAATTTCAAATGCACTCGGCCGCAGACGACGGATGCGAAGGCTGTTTGAGCGTTGTCTGATGAACCTCCTCTTCCTAATTGTTCATAGGTTGGTTTGTCTTGGCCCTGCGATACTTTATTCATCCCTAGATTAAACACGGGCTACGTAAACATACCGAGCCCGACGTAACTAGACTACTCCTATACACCAGGTGAAAGGAATACACATTATCCATCAGCTCAAAAACAATTACATTCTATCATGTTTATTATTAGTTATCAAGCATAAATTTGTCCACACGGATAAGTTGTTATAATACTTGTTTATATTTCATTACTAACAAAATGTAGTCCTTTTTGTAAACATTTTTAAATAGTGAAGTGGATGATATATGATATGTGAAAAGTATATTTTAGAGCTGTCGCAAAAAGGGCTTGGACAAAAATTGCTTTCGAAACGCTTTACCGATTTGAGATTAATCCTTGCTTGTTCTCAATGCGAGAGGGTTCGAGAAAGGATTCAACAAAGCAAACAAAAACAAGAGCAAGAAAGAAAAAAGAAAGGAAAGGGAGGAGAGGTCGAAGAAGAGCACAAGGACAAAAAGAAGCAGTGAAGGGTTCTGGGCTCGCGTGTGTGTGTGTGTGTATGTATGTTCTTTATCTGTGGGATCTAGTTGATATAGTCTGGTGCACGGTAACTCACAGCACGATCGCCGAGGTTGCGCACGCGACAGTGCAGATGAGCCGTTTGGCCCACGGTGGTCGTGACTTCCCTCCTTGTAGAGTTGTCGAAGTAGGGCTGCGAGAAGGGCTGCTCCCAGTAGGCGCTGTGTTCAGACATGCTCTGAACCCGACCTGAAACACATACAAAAACGGGCTCTCAAATATTTATAAAACATGCGGCCATGATCCCATCCCCCAATGCGACCCGGGGACCCCCGGAGACAATCGCACCGTAAAAACAGAAACCTACCCTCTGCCGCCCCCCAATTCATATTTGCTCTCAAATTAACAATTCACCCGGAACAAAAAAAAATATATGTATAGATATATTACGTGCACGGACGAGATGGGGGCTTCCCCTCGCTTCCACTGAATTATCCACGTGCAGATATATATATATGCTCAGCGCATCCACCATAACATCGGGCCCTTGTGTCTCAGGCAAATGTCGACGAAATTATATACGTTATAATGGTATCTTGTTACATCAAAAGCATTCTGATTTCGTAACGTACTAACGTTGTACTAAATAAATCAGCCGTTGTGTGCGGGCTTCGACTTATAAATAATACAAGGATGTAAAAATTAATGTTGTTGTACTGAAGTCTGTTCGAAATAAACAATTTATACTAAGCATGTTCTGCCGTTTTACTCAAAAAAAACAACATCATAAATAATTTGAAAAATAATCCCGCTTTGCATGTAGATTTTCATATTATGAAATCCTTTATTTTTGCTTTACAATATATAAACAAAAATTATATGAAGAGACAAGGAACGTTGCCTCACGGCTTTCCGGATGTAATTCAATATACGATTGTGCAATAATCTTACTCTTGGAGACTGAACAGATTGCCCAACCGACATTGATATTTATTTTATTCAGCGAGCGGAAAATGCAAAGAGATACAACGGTGTACAACAATTATGCGAATTCACTTAGAAATTTTCCCTTCCTCTTTTTCTTCCGCGTACATAAAATGAAAATCACTTTAAAGAAAAGAAAAAGAAAAGTTTTCAGTACGTTCGAGCGGCATAATTTCCGTCGTAATGTAATAAAGAAATAACGACATGCAAAACGTAGGTAAGATAAATGTTAGCCGTGCCCAGCGCATTCGCTAACAGTCTTCCTTGTTATACGCATCTACCTAGATCATCCCAAAACCCTACATCGACCTATCAAATTAATATTTTAGTTCCAACCCTTTCTTAATTATTTATAATCATCAATTATTCCAATAGTTTACCTCATTTCAAACGGTATTCTTTTCTTCTTGTGTTTAGAGTGTTTATTATCACGCCAAGTGGAATATCCATTATGCATGTTCCAAAACTGTTTCACAAGCATCATCATCATCATAAACATTACAATAGCTCTTTTGTTGCTCTTTTCCTCTCGTTTGTAGTATTTTTCCCGGCGACGCTGATACAGCTTGTAATCAAGTTCGCATTTGGAATGATGTCACGGTATTGATTTCATCTCAACTACTATTTATTTGCATGCTTTAATTGCGGATATCGAATGTGCATTTCAACTCTCGAGATGTTACAGCAAGACGAAACGTTTTCTCTCAAAATTAATGACATTGCATTATTTATTCATCTGTCTTCGTTTCCAACGCTACGCTTCCTCATTCCTTAATTATCTGTAATGCAACTTTTATACTTCTCATCTTCATATCGTTATAAAATGCAGTAAATGTAAAAGAGTAAAAATATTTAACTACTTTCTTTTATAATTAATGAAAATTACGTTTATTATATTATTTTGTTTATAATTTGAGATATTCCCTATTGTCTCAATAATATCGTAGTTGGGACAAAATAAAAGCCAAATGAAGTATATGCATTACGTTTAATAAAGTCTACTTTGTAGCATGTTCAGAATTGAAATATTTTGTGCACATTAAAAGTTTTGAGAAGTGAACAGAAGCAAGGAAATTTATTCAAAATATGTCGCTCGCTGTCAAACCGGAGAGTCTGAGCCGTGTTTAAACTTTGGCGACGAAGGGCTTAGCGGCGGTTTTGGACCTGTTCGTCGCAGCGAATTTGACGAAAACTCCCCCATAAATCTGGTGGCTTTCGGTTCGTGGCCGATTTGGTAATTCGAACGACAGCAATCACATTGACGTGGTGTATCCATTACGTCGAAGAATTATATTTAATTCTTCATGACTGGGACACTTAATAAATGCATCCAGCAGCGTTATGCAATAAATTACGGCGTACGCCATCCACCCGGATATGGTTTTATTTCTGTGGGAATCAATCACGTCACGAGCTGGCGCGCTTCATCAACTTGCAACAACAACAATAATAGCTGCTGCTGCTGAATCTATGGCTGTCTGGCTGAATTCATTTAAATTTCGCGGAATTTTATTAGGGTTTCCGGTTGGTTGCATGTCACGTGTGAAGAGAGGGATGTAGGTGTCTCGCTTTACGTCGTCGGTGGATCTATTAGCGGTAGCATGTATTAAATTAAGTGTTGCGTTGTGAGTTACGAAACTTTGGCGTTATTGGTGTGAATTTCTCAGCAGACAACCCGCTAAATGTAATTGAATATGCTACATACGACGCGCACCGAAAATGTAATAAGTACATACACCTTCCTATCCAAACTATGTCTCCAGTCTTTGTTCAAAGAGCAACGCTTCGCATAACGTCTTTTGATTCAAGAAATATTGTAATTGCATAATAATTATGTAATATGTACTACTCAACCATCAATTTTCATTTTGACATATTATTAAAAAACATTAATAACCATAAATTTACATTGTAGCATAGAAACGCACTCAACCATCCATCATAAATAGCTTATAACTGACTTTATTAAGTGTTATTGGAAGTGCTCGAATCGTTTTGAATTGTGGCCGGGGGTAGCTTTTTCCCCTGTAGCCTTCAATTGAAATTTATGAGGATTATAATTTTCCCCTCTAGTGGGGATTTTTTTTCCCTCTTTCTCTCTTCCTTCTTCTACTTATATTCTTCAAATCTTAAGTGGCAAGGGCTGACGATTTAAAGACGTGCCGATTTCGGAAGGGTGGTGGTGCCCACAGAAGGCGACCCCCACGATCTCAAACAACCGCCGTTGACGCCCTCTGGTGCTTCTGTAATTATTAGATAATGATTGCTCCGCCCGAGGCGCTGGCAAGGCCATTAACTAAGATTCCAATTTGTAGCACGCGAAGGAGTTCTTAATTACACCACTGCTGCATTCTTACGAGACTTTAATGGCGAATTCCTCCATATTTTGAGGTCACTTACACACCATGCCTATTGATTTATGGACGGGAGCCGCGGCCCATTTCAGATGGCCGGCGAAATTAAATTTCCTGAACTTGTCTAAGAAGATCCCAATTTTTTTCTGGTATATTCTCTTCTAATATTAAAAATTGTTTTCTACTTCGTGCAATCACATATAAACCAGTTTCTGTTGTTGAATTGTTAAAATATTATTTGTTATCCTAGTGGATTTATGCAAAGATCAGAGATGGAAGTTTTTTTTAATCAGTATATTTTGATATAATAGATTAAAAATATTTTCATAAATCTTGATGGAACGACTCCAAACATTCAAACATGTAATAAAGTTATACGAATGTACGATACGCGAGGAAATCAGTTTTTCCTTTGCCTTTCCCGATAAAGATATATAAATATTTTAATCTTGATCTGTGGTGTAATTCCTGCGCGCCCTTCCCAAACCCTCGGAGGAGGGTATATACGAGAGCTGGCGAAGGGTCGTCGCCCAAGTCGCAGCTAAGTTGAATTTCATTAGAGCCCAGCCCTGGGGTGACGTCGTGTCATTAACTTATGTGCGCCGCAGCGATTATTTATAGCAACTTTACATATATTAAACTGCATCACATCCGCACATTAACGCCGACCTTTCTACTTTATTATTAAAACTGGATAATGAAGAGGTTAAAACGATTCCGGTGACATCCTCCGGCGCTGTATCTTTCGTAACGAGGCACACTCTGCTCGAGAGCTATTTTATTACAAAGTACATGTTTAAATAATAATAAGAAGAAGTATTCCTACAAGAATAAGGAAAACCTCTTCATAACTTTTACATTATTAGCATAAGTTTTTAAAAGCAATTTTTTTAAATTTTTACTTGCTAAAACAAATGTGGAATGAATAAAAAAATATATACATATATTATTATTAAATTTTAATAAATCTGTATAATTAATTTCGATTTTTAAACGAGAGAAAAATTAAACTTGAAAAAGAATGATTTATTGTTGTTAGAGAATGAAGTCTCGGAGGAAAGGGTCCCATACATAAAAGCCGAACGTAGGGTTATTAGATTATTACGAATTGATATTATCCGAATTAGATCCGGAATTATAAATCTGGCGGGAGGATTTAAAAATAATTTGCGCGCCCGGAGCGGAGCGCCGTACGGGGATTAAGTAATCCGGGTGTACGTTTAAAACGTTGCGCCCGTGACTAGTTAAAAATCCATTATACTTCATATTTTCAAATTTATTTAGCGAAGAGCTTAAAAACGGATTAGCAGCATAATTTATTCCGCTGCCAACGGCACACGACCCCATCCCCATACCCCCCAAAAAAAAAAACAAACAAACAACCCCGAAAACGCACAACCACAATTACAATTTGCTTACTACTTACTAATCATCGCAAATTGATATTCATCGAAACAGAAGCAATGGGAATAAAAAACAACACAAAAATACACCCCTGCGAAGCACGCAATTAAATGCACAATCGCGACCCCTAAAAATTACAATATTTAAATTTTCTACCCAATTCTTTGATACCTCGCCCTCATTGTGCATTATTTTCCTGGCAAACAATAATTGCTGTACGTAAATGAGTTAAATTTCAATCCAGGGAACGCGAAATGAATACATCCGGACGAATTATCGAAAATTGAATCCTTAATGTCATTAATGGAAAAATTAATGCCGGGGCTTTTCTTTTTCTACTTTATTGTCGTCTGCGGCTGGGGTTTCCTTAATTTATTCTTTTCTCTTCCACGCTGCTTCGCTCATAAACAATAAGGATATTTAAATGTAAGCGACTAGAGGAAAAAAGTGCAAGGGGAGATGTGTAAAACGAACGAAGGAAAAGAAGGAAGGAAGGAAGAAAGGCAG